TAAAGTGTGGAAAATGAGAACTTAATTGTGTAGGCCTTATTATAGCAAAATAGATTCAGCTTCACAATGCTATAAATAAATGGTAAATTTTTACTTTCACTCCCGCACACAGATGCACTGTTTCAGGGGTCAAACTGCTGTACTGTTTGCTGCAGATCATACATAAAGCCACTAAAACTGTCGCAAATCAATTATTTTCAAGACAATTTCAAATTGAACTGTAAAATATCAAATTATGGGTGTAAAAACAGGGGGGCATGCCCCCCTGTAACCCCCCAGATTTTTTTACCCCAGAGGTGCAGGTCCCCCCTGGAACCCCCCGATTGGTCCAAAGCATGTCTATCTCGGTTAAAAACAATCAAATATTTCAAAAACTATTAATTTGCGACGGAAATGAAGTTGATATTCGTGTTCAGCGCATCAATATTTAGTAGAAAATGGACAACTGGTAGCTGAGTGTGAGACGGGAGGGAAAGTAAAAAAATACCAAATAAATCAACAACCACAAGACAAGTGCACAACATCGGGCATCAATCTATTGACTACCGAAACAAAACGGTGCTGACCATAGCGTAAACAATATTTCATTTCAGTTGTTTAGATCTCTAAATATCTAGATCTAGAGGCGTAACTAATAGGCCTGCCTAGATCTAGATCTAGTCTAGATATCTAGATCTAGATCTAGATCTAGATCTAGATTTCTAGATCTAGATTTTCTATAGATTTAGATTCTAGAATCTAAGTCTAATACTAGATCTAGATCTAGATCTAGAGAATCTAGATTCTAGTAATACTTCACCGATCCGTCAGCAGTTAGGGCCTACCCGGCTTCGAACGTCGAAGCTTCTTCCTTTGATGTGTACATCTAGAATCTAGATCTAATGATGTTTGGCATATTCCAGATCAGATTCTTCCCTAAAATCTTTAGTACAGCCAAAGCCAGAATGTGGACTCCGCTGATAAAGTGATAGCAAACTGTCAACAATGAATTTTAAATTGCAGCGCGTCATCGAACTTTGAAAATGGGTTGGTCACTTCGAAACCAAAGAATTAGTTTAAGATCTTACTCTAGATATAGATCTAGATCTAGATCTTCTAGATCTCGATCTATACAATTTGTAATTTCGTCTAGATGGTGAGGTTCCGGGAAAATCCATGAAGCTATAGCACACTTTCATTCTCTAATACAATATTATTTTAGGCATGATAATTACTGCTCTGCTAACCCACGTGCTTTTAGCGAAACGATACAAACAAATCAAGCTTTTGTAAGATTTTATGTGTACACAGTGGCCAATGACGTAGTGTTTACACAAAGAGCGATGACGTGTGTGTGTACTCATTGAATGATGACGTAAATGTGTACTCATTGAATGGTGACGTAGTATCTACACAAAGAACGCTGACGTTGTTGATATAGGTGTACTCATCGAATGATGACGTAGGTGCGTAGACAAAGAATGATGACGTAGTTGGTCCCGTAAAGGGGAATAACTAGCAGGCTGCCATTTCTTTATTTCATTGTTATGTCCCTTGTTTTTGGCGGTCTACTATTCGCTTTTTTTCTTTTCATTTTTTTCATTGTTATGTCCCTTGTTTTCACTTTTTTATTATTCGCTTTTTTTCTTTTCAATTTACATTTTCGTAATTAAAATTATTTCAACCTCCAAGCGCTATAGCTTCATGAATTTTCCCGGAACCTCACCATCTAGACGAAATTACAAATTGTATAGATCGAGATCTAGAAGATCTAGATCTAGATCTAGATCTAGAGTAAGATCTTAAACTAATTCTTTGGTTTCGAAGTGACCAACCCATTTTCAAAGTTTGATGACGCGCTGCAATTTAAAATTCTTTGTTGACAGTTTGCTATCACTTTATCAGCTGAGTCCACATTCTGGCTTTGGCTGTACTAAAGACTTTAGGGAAGAATCTGATCTGGAATAAGCCAAACATCATTAGATCTAGATCTAGATCTAGATTCTAGATGTACACATCAAAGGAAGAAGCTTCGACGTTCGAAGCCGGGTAGGCCCTAACTGCTGACGGATCGGTGAAGTATTACTAGATCTAGATCTAGATCTAGATCTAGATCTAGATTCTAGAATCTAGATCTAGATCTAGATCATTTTAGATTTAGATCTAGATCTAGATCTAGATCTAGATCTTGATTCTAGATCTAGATCTAGATCTAGGTCTAAATAAGAAACACATAAAAATTACTACAGGGGGTAGATCGAGTGTGATTTAGTGCAAAGCAAACGGGACTGCAATTGTACAGGAGTGCCGATCGCCGATCACATGTGTGTGCGGATCTAGATCTAGGAGCCATGTTGGTGACCAGGGTAAAATAGTAAAAGACGTTTTGGCAGTTTTACAAGCTTCATACATCGCATGTCTTTTTTCGTCACCTCCTTCATGTTTTTTTTCTGACTGTTCTTTGGCTTAGATCTAGGATCTAGGGCATCGTAGATCTAGAATCTAGATCTAGATCTATTTGTTTGCTAATTTCGTAATCAACACCCAAACATTCTCTCTCTCTCCCTCCCTCTCTCTCTCCGGCCGACCAACAACACACCTTAACCCAAACCCTAACATGAACCCTTACCCTGACCCAAATCGTAACCCTAACCCTAGGTCTAACCCTTACCCTAACCCTAACTCTTGTATAGTTTGCTCAGTGGACCTTGTCGTGGTAAGTGCCGGCCCTCCGCGGAACTCCTCCCTGAAAATGTAGTTTTCTGAATACAGGGTCAGGGTGTCTTTTAAAAAAAGAGGACCCCATTAAAATAACTCGGTCATCTAGACATTATAATTTCAATAAAACTTCGAACAAATAAAATTCTGATGCTCTCGTGGTCTAGAGGTTACGGTGTTCTCCTCTCATTCAATACGTCCCACATTCGAAACCTGACAGCGACAGAAATTTTCTAAGTTTTTTCTAAAATCTTTTTCCTTTCCCCTCCTTTGACCTGCTCTCTAACCATGTTCTGTCGTCTGTTTTCGTCATCACTTTTGCCCCCCCCCCCCTAATTCCCCCTCCTCTGGGCTCCTGCACTCTTTTTGTTACCTTTCTACTGCTTCTTGCTCCTTCCTACTGCTGTCTTTCAGCCATACCTGCGATCTTATGTCTTATGGTAGGTATAAAGATCAAAGACACGGTCAACTCGGATAAGGGAGAAAAATCTCAAAGATCCCATGTTGTTTAAGTTTTACACTTTAAAGATCCCTTGATGGTCCAATATCGATAAGAGTAGGCTTCGGCCACCACCTGGGCAAAATTCAAAATTAATAATTCCTATCAAACTGAAAATGTTTAATGTAGGGACGTCAAATCTGTAAATATAATACAGGAAGAAAATCATGGTTTGTCATACATTGACTCCTGTAACGTACCCATGGTTTAATTTTTTTTTTCCAAGTTTTGTTGAAACCAGTCAAAAGATGACCGAGTTAAACAGCCCTTTAAATGGGCCCTCGCTTTTTTTAGACACCTGTTACTATCTCTCTGTTGCAAAAATGATAATGATTAGATTAAAATGTGTTAAATATACTGAGATAGATTTATACAATAAACAAACCTGATGATGGTTACCTAATGTTTCTCTTTATGACATGGTTTTTATTGTTTCATTACAGTGGGGAGATATTTGCTCACAAGACAAACGTGTGTGCCTCAGTGACAGAGACCTGGTCTATCTCCTGGACACGAGGAGAGAGCAAAGGTCAACCAGAAACTGGAGGAGGGTGAGGAACCGGGAAACAGAATTTTTACTGAAACGACAGACTTTAGCGAGACATAAAGGGAAAAAAAGACAAACTACAGTGGAGTCCGCTGAAACCAAACACGGTTCATCCGATAATCAAATGGCGGTAAACTTTTATAAAATAATATCTCTGATTTTTTTCTTCAGTTGAACCAGATATCAGGCTGAAGTCTCATCACTACGAATGACAAAATACAGAGAGCTATTTTAGGAGCTGTTATGCTGATGACGAGGGACGTTCTAAACTATCTATGCATAAGATGTTATGGGTGTGATCTATCAGGGGGAACTAGGCTCCTTGAAAACCTGTCTTCCTGTCATTGCCGCATTGTTGGTGTTTGTTTATTTACATGTTTTTGCTGTGATAATAGATTGATATAGTTGGTGTAACACACAATTCTATACTGGAAATACTATTTGAAATAGAGTCATGCCTTTTAAGGCTCATTGAGAAAGTTGACTTCAGATGGATGTCTCTATAAAACTAATAAAATTAGGACCATAGGCCTACTTTTGATTATTTCTGATGTGAGGAAATTGCATTCTCTGTCCCCAGCTGTTTCCATCTGTACTTTCAACCTGTGCTGAAAGTGGCTTGAAAGAGCATCAAAACTGGTCCCTCACACCGGTGGAGCAACTGGCTGTTGCTATGGAGAGAAGCTTTCTACGTAAAACATCATCTTTTTCCGAGTTGAACATTCCAAAGTAAACCATGGTCTTGTTCTTGTTTAGTGTGTGTTTGTGTGTGTGTACTTAATCATAGTGAGTGTGTGTGTGTGTGTGTGTGTGTGTGTGTGTGTGTGTGTGTGTGTGTGTGTATGTCATTGTAGTTGTGTCTGTTACCATAGCTAGCTGTTGACTGTGAATTTATTGAATACATAAAAATGTATGTAGAAGGTTTGGAGGGGGGTTACTTGGCCAGTACCCACCATCTTGACCCACCTTGTGGGTAGAGTCTGTTTCTTGTTTTGAAAAGTTGGCAGCTTTGTAAATGGAGAGTCGTGGCTTGTGACTGCGATGTGTGTGTCCTTTAAATCATCCTTCTTTTTTTCAATTTTTGTTCTTTCTTGAAAACAGAATTCCTGCTGGCCCAGCCACTGGAAGTGAGGGTGTTTCTGAAAACTTGCACAATGGGCGTGGTAAGGAAGTGAAATTTCTTTTTGTGCCATTAGGAAAAGGTTAAAGGGATGAAATCCCTAAAATTATTTCAATCAGGATTGATGTAATATTTTTTATGTCCCTTTAATATGTTGTGTCCCTCTTCTCATCTGTGACCACTCACACAATGTTCTTGTCCCGGCCGCCCTTCAACACAGTGGTCCAGTGGTCGACTTTTCTTTATCATCTCCCTCTACACCTATGTTGACTCATTCCATACATTACCGACGTCTGTGCTCTCATGGTTCTGTTCTTTGCCGCAGATTCTATCTATTCTTTCAGGCCACCTTGTGAACGAGTTTTAGCTGGTAACGTCAAAGGTTCTCTATATACACGATCTTTGGTAGCGTTCCACAATGATTTTTAACGTACATTTGGTGGCCTTAGAAAACCTCTGATATGTCACCTTGTTCAATATCGAGCACCAGGCGGAAAATAATAAATTTCCAACCAATGGAAATTTTTTAAATAAAAACAATGCCAAGCAGTATTCATTATCATTCTTTCAAAATCTACAAGATTTTATCAAAATAATGTTTTGAAATGTTAATTTAGATAACATATATATTTTGGTTCTCGCTCAATAAATTAAAAATTTTCATGTCAATTTTTAATTAAAGTTTTGTCTTTTGTAAGCTCGTTATCTTGAAAATTTCGAACAACAAAAAACAGATAGAGCTTAAAGAAAGTGAAAATTGGACAGAGTGGAAAGTTACAGATCAGAAAATGCTCCTTGCTTCAGAAAGTGATTTTCCCATTTCCCTCTTGGTTTCCCTTTGCCACCACTATTTGTGTTTCTCTTTCTGCTGGGCTGATATTTGCTCCAATCAAGTCATTGATGCTCTAGCTGTTCCCGTCTTTTTCTTGGTCTTCCCCTTCCTCTGTTTTCTGATACCTTTCTTCGGATAATTATTTTATACAGAGCTTCTGTGTTTTTGTGAGCCAAAATAAGTGAGCTTTGTGATCTAATTAAATCTATAAATAAACAGTTCTTTATCTGGAGCTTTTTCAAGATCCTCCGGTTGCATTATTTAGAATTATGTTTCTACGTATTTGTTTCATTTTTATTTTGTTTCAGATCCCAACAGTCGTCTGTACCTGAGTGCCAAAGAAATCTCGCCCTTCCTTGAGATACCGCCATAGTTCTCAACACTACACTCAACCATTCACCTAAGAAACGCGATTCTACAGACGGGGTGAGTAATTTTCGAGACTCGCGTGGAGACGTCTAGACAGCTGGGAGATGTAATCGACAAACTTTCACTGAAATATAGGGCAGGGTGGTGTCGCGGTCTCAAAATCAGCAATTTGTAAAGAGCTGTTTTTAATACAGGGCCCTAAGGGAAATTTGTTTTTAAATTAAGAGGTCAAATTTTTTTGGAAAAAATGATTTTTACTTCTTCCCAACAACTTCTAACAGTAGAATTGTAAATCTTTAGCTATCCAGTCGTGGAAGAAAAGATTGTAAGATTGTAACAGTGTCGTTATTACATGAAGGACATTCCTTCTGCAGATGCACTGATCAGAAAATGCAAACATGGACGTTTTTATATTATTATTGTTATTGTTATCATTATTATTGTTATTTTCGTTAAAATTGTTATTATCATTATTATTATTACTATTACAGTATAACACGGATATCTCGAATTCGTAAGGACCGACCTCGGAGTTTTGAGGGATTTGTAGTTCCAGGTATATCTTACAAAGAAAGAAGGAAAAAAAACGTGATTTCTAGTCTACTGTGTAGCACCTATCTGTTTTAGAGTGTATATTATTTTTATTAGTATTGTAATTTGTATTAGTATTATTAATTTTATTATTAGTATTATTGTTAGTGTTATAATTATTATTTTTATGATTGTCATAATCAGAATCATTATTATTACTAGATTCTTCTATTATTATTGTTATTATTTTTTTTTTTAAGTTATCATTATTATCTTTATTATTATTATCATTGACATTATTTGCATTATTATCATTTTCATATTTATCTATATCATAGGCTAAATAAAAGATTACCCAGGGCCCAAAGGGATATTTTTTTTATATTAAGGGGTCAAGATTTTTTTTAAAAATGTTATTTACTTCTTCCCAACAACTTCTAACAGTAGAAATGTAAATCTTTAGCTATCCGGTCGTGGAAGAAAAGATTGTAAGATTGTAACAGTGTCGTTATTACATGAAGGACATTCCTTCTGCAGATGCACTGATGATCGTTAAACATGGACGTATTATCATGATTATTATTATTATTATCATTGCTATTATCATGATTATTATTATTATTATCATTGCTATTATCATGATTATTATTATTATTATCATTGCTATTATCATTATCATTATTATTATTATTACAGTATAACACGGACAGCTCGAATTGGTCAGGACCGACCTCGGTAGTTCGAGAGATGGGTAGTTCCTGGGATATCTTACAAAGATAAAGAAGTAGAGAAAACGGGAGCGCAGGCACAGTTCGACGGATGCATGATTTCTAGTCTTCTGTGTTGGACATATTCGTGTTAGAGTTTCTATTATTTTTATTAGTATTGTAATTAGTGTTGCGGAACACAGCAGTGCCACATTTTCAACAACAATTGGAAATAACAAATGCGTAACTCTCACCGTAAGTCCATGAGATTTTAATTCAGCGAGTGTAATTAATTATTAATCTAATTTGTAGTAGTAGTATAGTAGTAGTATTATTAGTATTATAATCATCATTGAATTATTATTAATATTATTATTGTTATTATTATTATTATTATCTTTTTTAAAAATAAATTATTTGCAGTGATATCATTTTCATATTTGCTTATAGTAATGAAAAGATTACCCAGATGTGAATTTGTTGAGAGAAAGAAAGAAAAGAAGAGGATTGTCATTTGTCATCCCCAGCAGTGTTCCCTGCCGTATGTGAGAGACGATCCCTGTGGTCTGAGGCCGGTCAAGCCAGTGCCGATATGGAGTCAGTATCTCTCTGACCGCTCCTCTCTACCTGTGTGTGGGAAGAAAACTGTGGTAGGGGAGAATGTCAAAAAAATGTCAATGGTAGATATCATCGGTGTACATTTCTTGTGTGGGTTTTCAGGTTTCAAATTACAACTATAGTTGAACCTGCCTTAACTCACTTGCGACTGGGCCCTTTCACCAGCCACAAGCGTTGAAGACTGGCGTTTTGGGGGGTATTTCAATAAATCACCACAACTCTCAGAATTACCCTATTGTAATCATTTTTTGACACAGTAAAGTAACATTCAAGCTTAATCTAATACAAAAAACTAAAGTTGTCTAAGTCTAATACTTTAATTTGTATGATTTTTAAAAAATTGGCATGAATTTGAATTTCGAAAAATTTCCAGAGACGTGACAAGTAGAATGAAATTCACTGCAACAACAAAAATAAAAGTTCAAAGTGTTCTGGTTTGATTTGTATACATGTGCAAGTGTTTGGTGAAAATATAAAAGCTGGTCTGTGCATTGATTCAGACCCATACACTGAATTACATGAGACAGATGTACGGCACGACGTTGTGATTTCGTTGCGCGAAAAACAACACCGGTACTAGTGCTAGATCTAGCCCTAGAACTACGACTCGGGCCGTGTTCGGGTACATATCCAGGATCCTAACTATTAGACACATCATATTCTGAGACACTAGAACTAGTAAAACGTACAGAAGTATAGAAAACGGCGAAATTATGTGATTCTTGTTCATGCGACTTCTTCGACCGTTACTACGACGCGACTGTCGGATTACTATGAGCTGTATAGAAAAAAACAAAGCGCGAGTTCCGGTCTGTTCAACCACAGTTGGGGTCACTGTCCTTCACCTTCAATAACTTAAAAACTACCGGCCCCAGAGATACGAAACGAAATCTAAGTAGCTCAGGCTTGGCCAAACAAGGGTACGAGGCGGGTCTCGCGATCCGTGCGTGATTTGTAGAGCGAAAAAAAAATTCCAAAGTTGGTCACGCAGGGCTTGTGAGACCCGACGCGAGCGTCATGGCGGGGGTCACGCAACTGTTGTGTGACCCGTCTGAAGTGAGTTAATGGCCACCTGTCTAAGACAATCACCTGTACAAACGGCCACTTCCCACTTCCCCTTTGTATTTTCCTGAATTATGATAACACCTGTCCAAGACAACCACCTGTCTAAAACAATCACTTTTCTCCTCAATAATGGGTGGCTGTCTTGGACAATTTCCGCTGTACTTTGTGATTTCTCTGGTACCCCAGGCTCTCGTAGATTCAGCACTTTATTCATTGGTAGAGATTACAATTTGTTCTTGAACTTTAAATGTTTTTAAAAAATTTATTCAACAAGGAACAGTTTTGGAAGATAATGTTGCCATTTGTATATGACATCAGTAAGATCTTATGGTATCTGGGAGCTGTTGAAAAATTTGGAATAAATTCTTGTCCCATTTTTAATCCACAGAGCAATGAGATACTTCTAGTTTGAACTATCTGGTAACAAATATTTTACGTTGTGCCAGTCAGGCTTTCAGTTTTAGTCGTACTGTCCTTGAGTTATAGCCCTTGTCACATGGATCCATAAATGTTGTAGTTCTTGGAAATCTGAAGCCTGTAAGTCCTGCATCACTTCATAATGAATCCAAAGTTTTTATTTTACACGTGTTATTTTATGTACGACGTGATGACCGGTTGTTGCAATCCATACAAAAACATTTTCTCCTTTTCTTTCTTTCCACTGACAGATGTCTTCAGAACGTCAGAACCTGACAGAAATGTTCAGCTATCTGTCCGGAGAACATTCACGACGCTACCATGTTGAAGGGGACATCAGCGCTGCTTACTCAGAGATGGTCATCAACAGGACCTGTCGGTAGATTTGACTGGACGAAAGATGAAGCAGACAAAGAGATGTGGATAACTGAGTGGATCTGTGTGGATCGGAAAAAACCCTCATATCTAGCTCATCCCGAATATTCCCCACTATTTTTTAGCTCATCCCCAGTATTTTTTTATATGATCCCTATTATTTTCTAGCTCTTCTTTAATATTTTCCAGCTCATTCCGAATATTCCCTACTATTTTTTTAGCTCGTCCCCAGTATTTTCTAGATGATCCCTATTATTTTTCAGCTCATCCATAATATTTTCTTGCTCATCCCCAGTATTTTCTAGTTCTTCCCTAATATTTTCCTGCTCATTCCGCTAGCTCTTCCCTAATAGTTTTTAGCTCATTCCAAACATTCCCCACTATTTTTTAGCTCATCCCCAGTATTTTCTAGATAATCCTTATTATTTCTAGCTCATCCCTAATATTTGGTAGCTCATCCCCAGTAGTTTTTAGCTCATTTGTAATATTTTCTAGCTCATCCCCAGTATTTTCTAGATTATTCCTATTATTTACTAGCTCATCGTTAATAATTTTTAGCTCTTCCCTAATAATTTTTAGCTCATCCCCAGTATTTTCTAGGTCATCCCTTATATTTTCTAGATCTTTCAGAGTATTTTCGAGATTGTCCCTAATATTTTCTAGCTCATCCCCAGTAATTTCTAGCTCATCCCCAGAATTTTTTAAGATTATTTTTTAAATATTTTTTTAGCTCATCCCCAGTATTTTCAAAGATAGTAAATAACAAGACGGGCCACTCAGCCAAAAAAGTGTCCGCAGGAAGTATGCTCTTTGCTTCAGATGGCGCTGCAGTCTGTTTTGAAGCTCTCTTTCGTTTTTCCAGAAGAAGAATAGGAATAGCACCACCTTGCGTGCGCAGATCGACTGCTGTTCATCAGCAGTTCGGGTTCGTTCAGTACGGAATTTTAGTTTTTTTTAAATTTTAATGACCTCTCGCCTTTCATTCTAAAGTCAAATTAAACGAAGAAAACAATCACCCTTTCCTCCGGAAGAGGTTTTTTTTGTCAACGTAACCATTTTTTAAAAAGCGTTCTTCCGAAATTCATTCAAAAACTTGCTAGTTTCACTCTGATTTTTTAAACTCAAGTAGGATAACTCTGTTCGCTAAAGGTGCGCTTTTGTGAAGAGGGCGCCACCGAATTTTGAGGACACTTTTTTGATTGGCTCAAAGAGAGAAGTGGCCCCTCTTGTTATGTAGACGCTTAGCTATTTTCTAGCTCATCCCCAGTATTTACTAGGTCATCCATAATATTTTCTAGCCCATTCCAAATATTCCCCACTTTTTTAGCTCATTCCCAGTATTTTCTAGCTCATCCCTAATAGTTTTTACTGATCCCTAATATTTTCTAGCTCATCCCCAGTATTTTCTAGGTTTTTCTTATTACTTTCTAGCTCACAATCAGTGTTTTCTAGCTCATTCATAATATTTTCGAGCCCGTCCCCAGTATATTCTAGGTTATCCCTAATATTTTTATAGCTCATCCAGAATGTTCCCCTTTCTTTTTTAGCACATTCTCAGTATTTTCTAGATTATCCATATTATTTCTAGCTCATCCATAATATTTTTTAGCTCATCCCCAGTATTTTCTAGATTTTCCATATATGATTGCTAGCTCAATCCTAATATTTTCCTGCTCGTCCCCAGTATTTTCTAGCTCCTCCCTAATATTTTCGAGCCCATTCCGAATATTTCCCACTATTTTTCATCTCGTCCCCAGTATTTTCTAGATTGTCCCTAAGATTTTCTAGCTCATCCCCAGTAATTTCTCGCTCATTCGTAATATTTTCTAGCTCATCCCCAATAATTTCTCGCTCATTCGTAATGTTTTCTAGCTCATCCCCAGTAATTTCTCGCTCATTCATAATATTTTCTAGCTCATCCCCAGTAATTTCTTGCTCGTTCGTAATATTTTCTAGCTCATCCCCAATAATTTCTCGCTCATTCGTAATGTTTTCTAGCTCATCCCCAGTAATTTCTCGCTCATTCATAATATTTTCTAGCTCATCCCCAGTAATTTCTTGCTCGTTCGTAATATTTTCTAGCTCATCCCCAATAATTTCTCGCTCATTCGTAATATTTTCTAGCTCATCCCCAGTAATTTCTCGCTCATTCGTAATATTTTCTCGCCTATCCTCAGTATTTCCTAGATTATTCTTCACGGCGTCACTTTTCGCCCGATTCTGTTACTTTTAGTTCGCGTGACTCAGCAGCCCGCAGGAGCTCCCCGGCTCGGGGTCACGGGGTTAATGAGCCCTGAGGC